TAATGAAATCAGTCCTCAATTTGTAATGTGCATTCAATGTTTTATTTTCTGGTCATGCTCCCAAACTTTCACATACACATAGAAACAAAAAAAAATATTTTTTTTTTTGATTACTGATTTGTAAACAATGGTACTTTTAATTATAGGGAAGGGTTGCAGGTCAAGACCCCCTCTAAAATTTTTATAACCCTTATTAAATGCAGATATACTGGTTCAATGCATGAAGGTTGAAGGAGACTATATTTTCATTCACAACCATCTTCTGTCTTCTGTCTATCTCCAGGAGATTACATGGATTAGATTCAACCAGCGCTATCAAAGGTATTATTTTCATGTGAATGGTAGATAAAGAAAGATAACTGGATTTGCAAGTGTATTTTACAGGACTTTTAATTACATCTTTAAAAACTTGCATTTTCAAATAACCCTCTCCTTCACATCCACACCCCAAAAAAAGGTGCAGTTTGTATTTCTTTGTTTAAGCTAGGCTAGTGTATGTTGAGATGCTATATGATAAACCAACGGTTGAGGCGTTTATACATTAATACGTGTCTACAGACACTTTGGGATATATAACCGGTACAAATTGATATTTGAAGAGGGATTTTTTTATAATAGTATTGGGCGAATAAACAGAGATTGAAATTAGGCTAGCTGAGAGGGAGAACACCCAACGATTCTGAAAATTTTAGAATTTTCGTGAATTATTTTATTTTTCAGATTAAAAAAATATTAATAATTTAATCAAAGAATCATTAATAAGTCATTAATGTAATCCTTCTAAGTATTAATTGTAAATTCCATGGATTAACCGTACTGATTTGAAAAAAAAAATCATAAAAAAACTCCTTGGACGTGTGCGGTCTCCACACAGGCAAAAGTGGCTCACATAAATTTCATGTGAATTCTTTGCATGAAAAAGACACGAAAAACAAGACATGTGAAATTTATGTGAAAACTTCATGTGATTTTGACATAAATTCCATATGAATTTTACACGAAGAGCATATCGCATAAATATCATGCAAAGAAAACTTCACATGAAAGTTCAAAAAAGATTTATGTGAATATCATAGAAACATTTATTCACATGATATTCAAATGAAAATATATTTATATAATTTTCATTTGATTTTCACATAATTTTCAAATAAAAAGATTATCACATGAATATCACGTAAGCCACTTTTCCCTGTGTAGTTATACCCTAGCTCCGAAGGAGAGGGGGATACTGTTTTACCTTTGTGTGTCTGCTTGTCTGTCTGTCCGTCTAGTTCTGTCTGTGTAGCTGTCCGTAAAAAAATTGGTCGCAGTTTTCTCAGCAATTATTCATGCTTGAAATTCTAGCACATTCTTTGTTGAGGCTTGCCATACCGTGGGATTCATTTTTGTTTGAATCTGATGTCAACTTCCTATTCAAACTTCATAAGAATACTTACAAACAAAGATACATTGCGGGTTCCAGTAAATGTTCATCCAGGCCTCTTTCTTTACTCCTCACTAAGATATAAACAGTAGTGAAGGAGAAACTTAAAGAGTACTGCGCAACAATATATTCAAGAAGTGGTGTGAATCAGATGTTGATAATCAAAAAATTCTAAAGAACTTTTGGATAATTTGAAATCACAAGATTTTACCAAAAATCAACAGCTTAAAAACTTACGACATTTCGACTTATACACAACTATTTCCCACGATGAATTAAAGTCCAGGCTTTTCGATATCATTGACAGCTGCTTCTTCAATAAAAATGGAACTCGTAAATTTACTTACATGGTCATTGGTCATTTGCAAAACTATTTTATTAAAACACATTCTGACTGCACACACAAGTACTCTGAAGTTGACATCAAAAAGATGCTTGAGTTCCTAATTGATAATATCTATGTAGTTTTTGTAGACCAGGTCTTCTCACAATCTATTGGAATCCCCATGAGTACCAATTGCGCTCCGTTGTTAGCAGACCTATTTTTGTATTCATATGAAGCAGAATTTGTGCAAAATCTTATGCGTGAAAAGAAGAAAACACTTGCTGTGGCCTTCAACTCGACATGTAGATCTATATATCGACGAGGTACTGTCAATTACGTACTTACGCAACTACTGGTAATTTTCATTCCTATGTCGATACGATATATCCTGGGGAGCTGGAGATAAGAGGTACCACAGAGTCTAACACACCTGTTTCATACTTGGATACATGTATCTTACTTGAAAAAGACATTCATGGTAATCTAACAACCAATGTCTATGATAAACGTGATGACTATAACTTTTCTATCGTCAGCTTCCCTTACTTATGCAGCAATTTACCTTTATCACCTGCATACGGAGTTTATATATCTCCGTTGGTTCGTTACGCAAGAGCATGCTCTACGTATGAACAATTTCTAAAACGAGGTAAATTATTGACAAACAAGTTGATGAAACAAGAATATCAGCAGTCTCGTTTAAAGTCATCATTTTGTAAGTTCTATGGTCGATACAATGACCTTGTCAGCAAATGCAATGTATCATTGAGTCAAATGCTGACTGACGTTTTTCATACTAATTGTTAGTCCATGATTTATACACTGAATTGACGACGGATTTTTCCATTATTTCCTGATCATGATAAGGAGCATGCACACGGCGGGTGTGACCGGTCGGCAGGGGATGCTCACTCCTCCATGGCACCTGATCCCACCTATGATGTTTTGGAGGTCTGTGTTTGCTCTGCTGTTTTGTATTGTTTTATGGACTTTTGATCTTGAATGCTGTTCGTCATCTTCATATGTTTCATCCATGCATCTGCCCATAACTGAACTTGTGTATATATACATGATAGTTTATATTCACATAAGAGCAGGGGTATTACTAGTGAGCATTGACTCAAAGATTCTTGTTGGACTTATGAAGGTAAAGAGATGTGTCTGAAATATTCACACGTAACCTCTACATACAATTTAGCCAAAGAAACAGAAGAGCGGCACCGGTGTCATACGACCCCCCCCCCCATAAGACTGGCGAGTCTTCCCCCCTATGGGAGGTAGGGCGGGCTTGTTGTTGTTGATAGGTATTTCGCCAGTATTCTCGCCACAAACAAACAATATTGGAGGTTCCCCTTGAATTGGGATTTTATTTATATTGTCCATATATCATTAGTAGAAACAATTTTAATTATATACTAGTAAATGTCAAAAAGAATTTGAGGGCCATTTGGTTTGGATGAATATGGTTAAAAGGGAAAATTTCGCTGATCCGTCGGAAGACTAGATATCTAGTGAGACAAGACCGACAAAAACTATTCAGAAATTAAAATTAAGGAGGAAACCTCGCTAAGAATAGGGGTGGCTATATAGCGAGATCCCTCCCCCACAAACACTGGCTTTATATCGAGACTTCCCCGCGGAAGTCTATCTCTATAACCAGTCTTTGGGGTATAGAAATCTCACTGTATGCGATACAGTGAGACTTCCACTCAGAAGTTCCAGGAAGTCTCAATACCAGGTATATAGCCAGTCTTCTGGGTGAAAGTCTCACGATATAGCCACACGTACTTCCGGGTGAACATCTCACGATATAGCCACACTTCCGGGGGGAAGCCTGTCAAGATATAGCCAGTCTTCCGGGGGAGGGGGGGGTCTCACTATAAAGTGTCTTCCGGGTGGTGGTCTTACTCACTATATTTGATTTTTCATAATCACTTTATATACAAAAAGGAATCTGTATATATAGTAAAGTGATCACGTAAAATCAAATGATATACTAGTAGTATGTTACTGGTCCCCGTGGTCTCACTATAGGGCCAGAACGCAGTATAGCCAGGGTTGACGGAAAATCTCTTTATAGCAAGTTCGTGAAAAGTTTCACTTACGTTTCATGTTTTCTATGGATAAGGATTCTTAAAATGCGAAAACTTTTTCATGAGACTAAACTTAACTTATAAAGTTAAATTAATAAGCCAAAATGTACTGTTTTTGGTCAAGATAGATCGAATGTGTATGTTATACTTGTACGTGTTTGTGCGTGTACAAGTGTCGTTTATCAATTTTCAAATTAAATTGTGTAGTTCTTTTAAATGGAAAACTTGATAAAAAGAAAAAAGAGACTCGTGTGCATGTAAAAATTACGGAAAATATATTATAAACATGTACATTTGATACTACTTATTTGCATAAATCAGTACCCCTATAAGGAGCATATTTTATCATGTTTCAAGAAAAATGAAAGTAAATAATATAATATAATATAATATAAAATAATATAATATAATATAATATAATATAATATAATTTCTACAGCGCCCTCTATAAAAAAAAATATCACCCGAAGGCGCTTTACATGGATTGTACATAAAATATTGCATATATTACTTTAAAAATAAAATTAGACTTATATTGAATAAAAATATAGTTGCAATGAATTAAAAGTCTATAGTTGTTTTAAAAAAAATAAAAATCATTAGATAGATCAATCTAAAAAGTTAATCAAAAGCTAATTTGTAAAAATTGGTTTTTAATTGTCTTTTAAAACACTGGATTGATTTGGCTCGTCGAATGTGCACCGGGAGACTGTTCCATAAATGGGCTGCGGAATACTAGCAGTTGAATTGTCTTTCGTCATACGGTGCGCACCCTCGGTAAATTGAGTGCAATTTTAGTTTTACCCCCAGCCTTTATCAATTACACCTATATTTCAATTCAAATTTCTTGGAATTCCGTTAATCTATGTCACCTATTTTCATTGATTTGTTGATGCAAAAAAGAAAGTCTACAGCAGAATTTCCAAGAGTTTCAAGTAATAATTGAAAGTTGAAGGTCGCGTCTGTCAGGTCACTTTGGAAGTGTAGTTTCTATTCTATGATATTGTTTTAGTTTCGAAAGAATATATTAGATTTAATAATTTTTCTTGGTAATTTAATTTTTAAATACACATGAACTTTCTATAATTCTTTAATGTATTAAATATATTTGTTTGTGTTTGACCGCATTTCCGTATGCTGGGAAAATCCGTTTGTTTTATAAGGAAATTTTTAACGTATAAAGAAAGCGTCCTTAACATGTTGATCAGCACTGCCGGTCTGCTCTACAGCTTCCTCAATGAAGGCCCTCTGTTTATCCGTGGTTTGTCTCATCGTAGGTGTGCACGGTAGGTTTTTTTTTCTTTTAGCTCACGTGTAAAACTTGATCATGCAATTAGGTAGAAATGATTTTCTTACGCCCCCACACGCAGTGGTCAGGGGTGCATTTAGCGTTACCTCTTTACGTCCGTCATTTTAATCATTCCGCCGTAGTTAAATTAGGAAATTTGTTTTTGCTGTGCTGGTAGATAATAAGCTAACTTATGTAGACGACTGTAAGTAATATCGTGACCATTGGCCTATTTTTACGAAAGTTATTGTTCGTAGATTTCGTTGCAGAACTACAGGTCTCTGTATTTGAAAATAAAATTTGGACAACATACCAGGGGGAGCTACAAATCAACTTTTTAAAAACATACCTTTGATTTATTGTGTCACTTTTTGCTGCAAGCTTTTGGTTTTATGCATACCCCCTAAAGCATTGTTTAATTAAAACTTTTTTCTTGAAACTGTATTTACTAGTCAACGGTTCCAAGCATCGACTCTAAGGAAAAGACGGACATGCTCTTTTCTGACGAATTTTAATGTTTAATTTGTCATTACAACTCGAATTCGATACAACGAGATAACGATTTTTCGATATTACGAGATTATTACTTTCGACGTAACGATATAACCATATTACGAGAAAACTGCTAGGAATATTTCAATTAAACAAGATAACAATATTTCTATACAACGAGATAACTATATTTCGATACAACGAGATAACTATATTTCAATATAACTAGATAACTATATTTCGATATAATGAGATAACTATATTTCAGTATAATGAGATAACTTTATTTCGATATAACGAGATTAGAATATTTTGATATATTTCCATTTCTAATTTTTTTCTCTGTGATAACTCTTTGAAGGTTAGCGGAGTTGATTTAAGGAATCACTGTCTTGTTTGTATAATATGCCAGGGCATCAACGAGAGTGGGAAACATCCCATGTTTCCCACTATCGTTGATGTCCCTGGCATACTATACTAACTAGACAGTGATTCCTTATATTTCCATTTCATTGTGAAACTAGATATCCTTGAGATGGTGGCCACCTCATAGGGCCCCGCTTTCAACAATGAATATGAAAATGTAAGGTAGTTTAAAAGAGTTTATTTTAAAGAGGAACATTTGTGTAATACAGTAAAAGTAATTTAGTACGACTTCACAGATATTGCGAATTTACAGATATATATCGAAGTTATCTTAAATCTCCAGTTATATAAATTTGCTGGAATTAAAGGGAAAAATTATGCACCAAACAAATATTTGAAACAGAGAGGCTAATTCTGACAATGACCTATAGAAACTTCGACCAAGGTCACTGCACATCCATTGACCAGTGGAACTCTGTGGGTAAAGTATGAGCGAGATTGGGCCAAGGAGAGAGAAGATATGCTCCGGACAAGGATTTTTCACATAATTCTGCTATGACCTTGACCTTTGACCTAGAAACATGGTTCAAGGTCACTGTACACTTGTTACCCAATGGCACTTTGTGGGTGAAGTATGAGCGAGATTGGGCCAAGGAGAGAGAAGATATGCTCCGGACAAGGATTTTTCATATAATTCTGCGATGACCTTGACCTTTGACCTAGAAACATGGTTCAAAGTTACTGCACACTGTTTACCCAATGGCACTCTGTGGGTGAAGTATGAGCCAATTTGGGCCAGGGAGAGAGAAGATATGCTCCGGACAAGGATTTTTCATAAAATTCTGCTATGACCTTGACCTTTGACCTAGAAACATGGTTTAAAGTTACTGCACACCGGTTACCCAAAGGCACTCTGTGGGTGACGTATGAGCCATATTGGGCCAAGGAGAGAGAACATATGCTCCGGACAAGGATTTTTCATATAATTCTGCTATGATCTTGACCTTTGACCTAGAACATGGTTCAAGGTTACTGCACACCGGTTACCCAATGGCACTCTGTAGGTGAAGTATGAGCCAGATTGGGCCAAGGAGAGAGAACATATGCTCCGGACAAGGATTTTTCATAAAATTCTGCTATGACCTTGACCTTTGACCTAGAAACATGGTTCAAAGTTACTGCACACTGTTTACCCAATGGCACTCTGTGGGTGAAGTATGAGCCAATTTGGGCCAGGGAGAGAGAAGATATGCTCCGGACAAGGATTTTTCATAAAATTCTGCTATGACCTTGACCTTTGACCTAGAAACATGGTTTAAAGTTACTGCACACCGGTTACCCAAAGGCACTCTGTGGGTGAAGTATGAGCCATATTGGGCCAAGGAGAGAGAACATATGCTCCGGACAAGGATTTTTCATATAATTCTGCTATGATCTTGACCTTTGACCTAGAACATGGTTCAAGGTTACTGCACACCGGTTACCCAATGGCACTCTGTAGGTGAAGTATGAGCCAGATTGGGCCAAGGAGAGAGAACATATGCTCCGGACAAGGATTTTTCATAAAATTCTGCTATGACCTTGATCTTTGACCAAGAAACATGTTTCAAGGTCACTGCACACCGGTTACCCAAAGGCACTCTGTGGGTGAAGTATGAGCCAGATTGGGCCAAGGAGAGAGAACATATGCTCCGGACAAGAGATCTCGGACGGACGGACGGACAGCCGGACGGACGGACAGACTGATCACTATAGGGCGCTCGCCAAGCGGGGCCCTAATAAAATTATAGATTTAGATTTTTTAAAATGTAGACATAGATTTAAATTACACGAGGTCTCCCATGCCAATTTCAATAGTCCTCGGTCACTGACGTCAAACACACAGACAGCCGCACGAGATTTACATGCATATTTGGCCTCCTAAGCGCCAGACTCGGAGACAGATGCACACGAGATTTACATGCATATTAGGCCTCCTTAGCACCTGACTTATCGACCTGCCTAATTTACATTCCGGTAGAATTATCAAGAAGTAAACTCCGCTAACTTTCAAAGAGTTATCATGGAGGAAAAAATAGAAATGGAAATATTTCTTGATAATTCTACCGGAATGTGAATTAGGCAGGTCGATAGGTCAGGAGCTAAGGAGGCCTAATATGCATGCATATCTCGTGCACATCTGTCTCTGTGTCTGACGCTAAGGAGGCCTAATATGCATGCAAATCTTGTGGGCATCTGTCTCTGTGTCTGACGCTGAGGAGGCCAAATATGCATGTAGATCTCGTGCGGCTGCCTTTGTATTTGGCGTCAGTGGGCGAGGACTATTGAAATTGGCACGGGAGTCCTCGTGTAATTTAAATCTATGTCTAGTCTAAATCTACAATTTTATTTCACAATGAAATGGAAATATAAGGAATCACTGTCTAGTTAGTATAGTATGACATGGACATTAACGATAGTGGGAAGCATGGAATAATTTATGCATAACAGGCATCATTCCTTATATAACTATAGATTACTGAATTTTGATACAATGAGATAACTACTAAGTATACTGTATTTCGATATAAAGAGTTAACTATATTTCAGATACTTAAGGAAACACTGTCTAGTTAGTATAGTATGCAAGGGCTTCAACGATAGTGGGAAACATGGGATAATTTGCATAACGAAGCCCGTTATGCATAAATTATCCCATGTTTCCCACTACCGTTGATGTCCCTGGCATACACTGTACTATACTACCTAGACAGTGATTCCTTATATTTCCATTTCATTGTGAAATAAAATTGTAGATTTAGACTTTAAAATATCAAGAAATCAACTCCGCTAACTTTCAAAGAGATATCACAGAAAAAAGATGTGTTTGTGAAACACTGATGCCCCCGTATGGCAAGAGAACTTTAAATTAATTAATTGGTACCAAAAGTAGGGTATTCTCACTGGAAAACAATTGTGAAATTTGAAAGTAGGCCAATGTTAAAGTTTTTTCAATAAGTACAAAAATCTCCAAGGTCAAAAGGTCAAGGTAATTGGTATCCAATGAAAGGTCTTGCCACATAGAATACTTATGTAGAGTATGGAAGCCCTAGTCCTAAACGTTCAGAAGTTATGGCCAAGGTTAAAAATTTTTAAAGTAGGTCAAACTCCAAGGTCAAAGGGTCAAAGTTCTTGTTAGCAAATGAAAGGTCTTGTCACAAGAATTAAATATGTAAAGTATGAAAGCACTAGCCCTAACCCTTTACAAGTTATGGTCAAGGTTTGCTTTTTTAAAGTAGGTCAACCTCAAAGGTCAAGGTCAAAGGGTAAAAGTGCTTGGTATCGAAAGAAGGGTCTTTTCACAAGGATTACATATATGAAGTATGAAAGCCCTATCCCTTACCATTCAAAAGTTATGGCCAAGGTTAAAGTTTTTTCACAGGAACGGAAATCTACAAGATGAAGGTCAAAGGGTCAAGGTTATTGGTATCCAATAAAAGGTCTTTCAACAAAGAATACATATGTGAAACAAAAATGTCCTAGTATCTACTGTTCAAAAGATATGGCCAAAGTAAAATTTTAAAATTTTCATGTAAAAGTGGGTTAAACTCCAAGGTCAAGGTCAAAAGGTCAAATTTGGTGGTACCCAAAGAAAGGTCTTGTCACAAGGTATACACATGTGAAATATGAAAGTCATGGCTCTACTAAATCAAAAGTTATGGACAAGGTTAAAGTTTTTGCGGACAAACAGACAAACAGACAGACAGACAGACAGACGGACGGACACGACAAAAACTATATACCCCCGAAACTTCGTTTACGGGGGCATAAAAACAATAGAAATGGAAATATAACGAGATAACTATGTCGATACAAAGAGACAATTCTATTCGAAATATAACGAGATTGTTAAATTTCGGTATAATGAGATAACCACAATCGATACTAGTAAGCTTATTTTGTTATAATGAGTGTATTATCTCTATTTATCGATAAAGCAAGTAAAAAAGAATTCGTGCAATGGAGTTAGTAATCTCGTTGTCATGTTCTAAATTTTGAATTTACCCGGTGGCAGTAAATACAAAATTTACAACTATTTTGTATTTACTGCCAACCGGTAAATTCAAATTTTACAACATGGCATCGTTATAACGAGTAAGTTAGCTAATAACGAGTTGTATTACTAATATTTCGTTAAAACAAAATGACTATATTTCTTTTAACATAACAACAATATTTCGGGAACTATATTTCATTATAATGAACGATTCATTTACTAGTATCTCGTTAAAACAAGGAAAAATTTCCGTTCAAACATGTTAGTAATCTTGTTATAACGAATAATTTATCTTATCATGAGATAACTATATTTTGTAATAACAAATCAATTAATTATCTCGTTAAAACGGGTAAGAATTTCCGTTAGAACATATAAGTAATCTGGTTATAACGAATAACTGATCTTTTTATAACGTGTAAATTCTCGATGAAATATATGGAGATAACGAACAGAATTCAAGCCCAAAAGTCCATAAAACAATACAAAGTAGGAGCGGAGCAAACACGGATCTTCGAAACATAAGAGATGGGATCAAGTGCCAAGAAGCAGAAAACATCCCCTGCCGACCGGTCACACCCACCTTTGCTCTTTGTCATGATTGGGAAATAACGGGAAAATCCGTCGTCTATTCAGCATATAATAGCCTAACGATTAGTATGAAAAACGTCAGTCAGCATTTGACTTAATGATAAATTGTATTTGCTGATAAGGTCATTGTATCGACCATAGAACTGACAAAATAATGACTTGCACAACACTGCTGATATTATTGTTTCACATGCTCTTGCGTATTGAAACAAATGAGAGATATAAACCCCATATGTAGGTAATGAAGCTGCATAAGTAAGTGAAGTTGACGATTAAAAAGGTAAAGTCATCACTTTTATCATAGAGCTTGGTTGGTAGATTACCATTAACGTCATTTTTAAAGTAAAATATCCAAATATGAAAACAGATGTATTAGACTCTGTGACATCTTTTATCTCAAGCTCACCTAGATACATCGTATCGATATAAGAATTGAAATACATGTGTAACAATTGCTAATTGACAATACGTCGTCGATATATCTAAACGTAGAGTTTTCTTTTCTTTTCACGTATAAGATTTTGGACAAAATTCTGCTTCATATGAATACAAAAATAGGTCTGCTGAAAACGGGGCGTAATTAGTACCCATGGGAATTCCAAAAGATTGTTGGAAGACCTGGTCTCCAAAAACCACATAGTTACTGTCAATCAGAAACTCAAGCATCTTTTTGATGTCAACTTTAGGGTACTTGTATGTAAAATCAGAATGTTTTTCAATTTGATTAAAATCAGATGCTTTGATCCGCTCACATAGCTCGCTGCACCAGGCGAGTGGATATCCAAGTGAGCGGATAAAAGGGTCTGATTTTAATCAGATTGAATTTTTTTAACAAAATAATTTTGCAAATGACCAATGACAAGGTAAGTAAATTGATGAGTTCCATTTTTATTTTTATTTGAAAGCCGCTGCAAATGATATTAAAAAAAGCCTGGACTTTGATTTATCTTGGGGAATGATTTGTGGATAAACTTGAAAAGTCTTAAGTTTTAAGCTGTTGATTTTGGTGAGATCTTGTGATTTCAAAATTTCCAAAAGTTCCTTCGAAGTTTTAAGTATCAACATCTGATTTACACCGCTTCTCTCGAAATTATTGTTGCACAATACTTCTGAAGTTTCTCTTTCACTACTGTTAATATCTTAGTGAGGGGTAAAGAAAGAGGCTTGGATGAACATATACTGGAGCCCGCCATGTATCTTTGTTTGTAAGGATTTTTATGAAGCTTCGGTATCCAGTATTGATGTGGTAATGCAAATTAATTTTGGTTAAATTGACATATGATTCTGAAGAATTTCTTCCTTAGAAAGGGTGCCCACTTGGTGCAGTGATTAGAGCGTCTGCTCTAGAGTCGCGGAGTAAGGAGTTGATCCTTACGTCGCGGTTTCGAATCCCACTGTTGGACGTGGAGACCGGTCCTTCGGATTAGACCGTATATACCGAGGCCCCGTGTCGCAATAGGTGCTGGCACGAAAAAGACCCCATCAATGCTCTGAGTGCCGAGCATAGGACAAAATTTGCAGCTCTCCACCGTCAAGTGTCGGCGTCTCCATATAAGAGAAAAATTCTCGAGAGGGACATTAAACAACATACAATCAATCAATCAATCCTTATTTATGGGGACTTTATTGTCTTTCCACAAATTTTATTAAAAAATAAACTCTGTTGCATAACAACAAAGTTTATACTTTAAATAAAATTTGTGGAAAAACACTACTAATATTGATTATTATGTGAAAGTGTATACATTCTTTGAAAATATTTTTCGTTCTTGGATATATATTAAGCAAACAAACAATGTGCATGCTGATGATGAGCAAGATTGCTTCTTAAAATCATGCAAATTTCGTTTGGTCTAGTCTGGGGTTTTGGTGTTAGTACAAGGCTCAATCATTATATCGAGTAAAAACAACGTTTTCAATTTTTTGTATTATTCTCTGCACCTATATGTACATATTTAGTAGATAAACTAAGTGCATAATAATGATTTGTAAGTCTCTTCATTTAAAAAAAAACATTAACAAACAAAACAAGTGCATAGTTTTAAAAGTCTAGGGTGCCTTTTCCAAAATTCTGACTTTCATGGCCCACAGGTAAATTTTTCTGGTGTTTGGGCGGAGATGTATCTTAATTGCTAGTATATTGGGAAAATACAATAATTCTCATTAATTTTGAATCATGACAAGTAAGAATGCCTCTCCAAAAACTGTAAATTTTAAGTTCAGATGTGTGCCAAAATTGAAGATAATTTTATTTTTTCTTTACATATTTCATTGAAAACGACATTCTTAAAATCACTCTTGACAGATTTTACCTCAAATTTCTTGATAAACCAAGAAATTGTTTTATTTGATAAATCTGATCAGCATCAATATTTTAAAAAATATTGTTTTAAGTGTAACATAATAATTTAAGTCACGTACGCACAATGAATTATAAAGTCAATATTGATCTTAAATTTTAGATATGATGTAAATGATGAACTTTATTTTCTTTAAAAAAAACTGAATTTGAAATGATCCTACAGGAAAAAACCCATATATTTTCTAATTTAAGTACTGAAATAAGTAATGAAATTGGACAAAAATTGACAATTTGCCAGTTATTTTACAAAATGTTGTTTTAAATGAAATATATACATATACGAGGGGTGATCAAAAAGTTCGCAAACTATCTGTATATCTACAAAACCACAATTCAGATTAGAATGAAATTCGGTACACACATAGCCATACACAAGGTCTATAAATAGCATATGCTGAATAAAGTTTCTCTCCTTGTTTGTGACGTCACAATGTGAAAATGACGTCACTATTTAGGTCACTTGTGACGAAAAATGGTTGTCTCAGTCGAACTCGTTCACCAAACGACTGTACAATTTATTGTACTAATATCTTAGAAATCCCTCTACAGTATCATATAATAATTTGTACACAGTTTATTGAGATAAATGAGTTCCTACAAATTCAATTAATGATTGGATTAATCGTTTTAGTGAAGGAAGGCTGATGGTTAAAAATGATACTTGTCATCTTGCCCAGTGAAAGCAAGTTTGAAAAGATATGTATTTTTAATTAAGCAATTTGCTATCAAAGACCTCCAATTAGCACTTTGAAAAATAGTTGAATATTTGAACAATGATATAAGTATTAAATACCTAAGATATCGTTTACTTTAGATTTTAAACATATTAGATATGATAAAAAGGATGCACCCATTCTGTATCCACCTTGAATAAAGGTCTCTCCTGATCGAGACAGAAGATTTGTGTTTTAATGGTCGCCATGCTTATTTTTGGAAAGGATGTTATTATGAGCATTTCTGACAAATTAACTGTTCTTGTCATAAAAATTAACTCACATGGAAAGAAATATAAAACTCGGAAAAATCTTTTAACTTTTGTGACAGAACGCTACAGAGGGGGTCACGTGACCGCCAATATCACGTGATTCGTGCATGCGCAGAACGGTGGTTGATATGCATTAAAATCAGGGAGGATTAATTTAAAATATTAATCAACCTTAAAACCAAATATTGTTTCTTGTATGGAAGTTATTCAATTAGTTTGCGAACTTTTTGATCACCCCTCGTATAGAGAAAATAAAATTATTTCCACTTTTGGCACACATCTGTACTTAGGTCAGGGGTTCAGATGGGGTTAGGTACTAGTGTTTTAAATGCTGGGAGGAAATGCATCATTTCTAAAAAAAAAAATCTCTCCGAGTATCAAGCATTATAATTTACATAAGAATTTTTGTGATATTTAGATAATACAAAAAGTTCTTTCGTGTATTTAGTATTTAGTTCTCAGATAGACCTGCAAATAATAAATAGAAATGAGAAAAAAAAACTTATTGAAATGGGCTTATTATTGAGTAACAAATTAAATAAATTATTTTGTTGAGTAATTATCCTGTTTTTTTTTCTCTTCATTTTGGACATCAAAGCTTTGAATATCAGTTGTTTTCGTTTTACACTTTTACAGTGTTTTATTATATGCAGATGGCCACTGAGGTCCTTTGGCTTCTTGTTAAAGTCAAAGCAACTAAAATTAATATCGTAAAATTTACTGCATGTTAAAGTCAACAAACCAATCAAATTGATTGACTGAATTTGAATAACACAATAAAAATAATATTCCTTTTATGATCAAATTACTCTTGAATAATAATCATTTATTTCGTAATTAAGGGTCGAAACGAAATGGAGATGGCGCTCTTATTTCAAGAAGCATCTCAGGTCGTAGAAGCTTCATTACACTCAGATGTCCTTCCGGTCACGTGTTTTCAAATGTGAAGTTCAGACTAGATTCCAACATCTCAAATACCACCTCAAAGGGCAGTAAATGTTGGAAGAGGAGCTCGAAGGCACAGAGAAGGTGCCGATGGAAGCAAAAATGTAGGATAGACACCAAGATAAGAACCGGCGACTGCAAAGCCTCGGCCATTCAGCTATCTAATCTTCAGTGCATCCCAGAAGGTAGGTGGTGCCTCTTCCTTATTCTATTATGTTTCCGGTATACCCGGCGAAGTTTTGTTCATTATCATTTCAAGATTCAGTTTAAAAAGAAGAAATAGTATAACTTCCTCATTATTTCCTACAAAATCGGGCTCATACGGAACTTTTTCAAAAAGTACTGCGTAGTAAATCTCTCGGTTGTTTCCAGCTCCTGGGAGTTCTTTATAACATTATAATTCAAATACATGTCCATTACTCAAGCACTGCTGTTTATGAGGCCAAATATGGACTGAGTTCAAGGGCAATATGTGTTTTGTCGGGCCCAAAAAACAAATTGGTTTTTGCCACCGACCACAAGTTAAGACTTTGGTTTGAGGGGTCGTGAAAGCGCGTTTTGCCTGAAAATACAGTCATTATTTTTTTGTTTTGTTATAAACTGCTTTTTAGTTCAAGTCTTTTTGACACTTTTTTCCTTAGTTTCCTTGTTTAAAACAGAGGTATTTTGAGGTCTAAATTCACTAAATGATACCCCCCGCCTACTATATGATTATAACGGCAGTCTATGATTTGCTCTGGGAGACAGCTCAAGATTAAGTGTCAGATCAAAAATTAAAATAGGAAGTACTAGTATTATGTAATAAAGAATCTGTAAAAGTATCATTACATTTCATTCAGACTGTGTGGTATAGGAGGAGTTGAGGATAAGAGATGGTACCTTTCAATACTATAGAAAGAATGATAGTATCCGTGTTTTGCAATGGGAAACCCAAAAATATTCGTGAGGTTAAAAAGTAAAATAGAAGGTTCAGAATGGCACTATGTAACAAAGATTCTGTAAAAGTCTTATTAAATTTCATTCTGTGGTATAAGAGAAGTTGCGATAAGAGATTGGTACTTCAAAGCGTAACAGACGGTCGGACAGACGAATGGGCGGACATCCCAATAACTATATACATGTACATGTACCCTCCCCATTTTCAAGCCATTTGATTTTACCGATAAGTAACACATTGATGAAATACAATGATATGGAGATACCGTAAATCTGGAAATTTTTACGTTGATTTATTTTTGCGAATTTGGGTCAAAAAGCTATTGATTAATTTTTACGCTTCAAAATTTTGCGAATTGTCACTGGCGCTAAAAATAAAAATCACTTAAGATTTTCATATCAGTTTAAGTTTCAATTTAGTATGCTCAGTTAGAATACCACCAATATACTCGCAACCTGGCAAGAAATTGCAGAATCGCTCCAAAACAATTTTGAAGATAAAAATACAAAAGGATTTGCACTTAGAATAACTTCTAAATTAATTATAACAAACCTTTTAGAGGTTGTGTATGCCTTTTAACCTTAAATATAATCCAAATAAAGACAAAAATATAACTAATTTTCTCAACGTTTGGTTTTTTTCTCACCTGAAATTTACACGCCGTGTTTACACTTGGAACTCTCTAGTAAAAGCACTGAGCTCGAGTTACCGCCCGTGCTGATACATGGTTGGATAAAATTTATCTACAATAAAAATTTCCAGATTTACGGTAACGAACAGTATTCGAGCTTAAAAGATTACTGTATTAAACATTTCAAAATAGGAGCGCAGTAAACACGGACCTCCAAAACATCGAAGGTGGGATCAATTGCCATGGAAAAAAAAAAACCGGAAAAATCCGTGGACAACTCAGTGCGTCAAAAATGGCTTAACAATCGGCATGAAAAAAGTCAGTCAGCATCTGACAAAAGATAAATTGTATTTGTTGACAAGGTCATTATATCAACCATTAAACGTACGAAATAATGACTTTAAACGAGATCACTGATATTCTTGCTTCATCAACGTGTTTGTCAATAACTTACTTCGTTTTAGAAAATCTTCATACGTAGAGCATGTTCTTCCGTAACAAATCAGCTGAGAGATATGTATAAACTCCATATGCAGGTGACAAAGGTATATTGCTGCTTAAGTAAGGGAAGATGATTAAAAAAGTTATCACAGTTTTCATGACGCTTTGTTGTTAGATTACCATTAACGTCTTTTTCAAGTTAAATATCTAAATATGAAATAGACGTGTCAGACTTTGTCTTTTTTTTTTTTAGCTCATCGGGATATATCGTGTCGACATAAGATTGAAAATAAATATTGTTAATTAACAATACGCGTCGTCGATAATCTAAATGTCGAGTTGAAGGCCACAGCAAGTGTTTTCTTCTTTAATGTATACGATTTTGGAGAAAATTCTGCTTCATTAAATTAAAGAATTACGCTATCAATATATTGTAATTATTTTAAGAGGTACTGTGAGTATTGAATGATACCCCCGCCTCCCATTTGATTATAAGGGCAAAAACCATGTTTTGCTCTTGAAGTTCCGACTTAAGTGTCATATAAAAATGTAAAATAGGAGGTTTTACGTTATAAAGAAGCTGTGAATGTATCATAAAATTTTTATTCAGTGGTATAGCAGGAGTTGCGGATAAGAGATGGATACCCTTCAATATTATAAATAGAATGGCCGTGTTTTGTTCTGGGAAACCAAAAATATGTGTCCGATCAAAAAGTAAAAAAGTAAAATAGGAGGTGCACATTGGCACTATGTAAAAATATTCTGTGAAAGGCTCATAAAATTTCATTCGGTGGTTAAAGAGGAGTTGCGGCTAAGAGATATATACTCCAAAGCGTAAAGACGGATTGACATCCCGATCACTTTATACATGTACCCTCCCAAATGTCAAGTGGAGTATAAAAAGCGAAACGTTAATCAGTTTTAACAATATAAAAGTCCCCGATGTATTATTTATCCAACGCAGTAAAATTTTAAATATCATATTAATATAGCTTATGAATACAGGTAAATTTAATACATGTAATTATACAGTATTATATAATAATGTATTTCAGCTTAGCAGATAGCTAAAAATAATTTTTTTTAAAAAATAGAGAATGGTGCAATGGTAAAGTGATTCGAGTGCAGCTTTATAATGTACATGTAGTGTCAATATACATTAAATATTTTTTTGTGACATGAATTATAAGGATTACAAAATTTCCTTAAAGAAGATGTTGCAAGCATTGTCAGAAAAGACAAAAAATGACAGTGGTCAGTATTCAACGTCAAAAAATTAAACTTCGGTCATCTTTTTTATTATTAACAACAACAACAACAACCCCCCACCCCCCAAAAAAATCTCCATTTAATTCAAAGAAAACAAAATCCTTTGCCTGTAGGAAAGCCTGTAGGAAAGTATAATCAATCTTAAAATCTACATAACCCACGGCATGAAAATGACCCTCGTAGAATAGGGACCTTTGGAAGTATCAGCAAGGAAGCAATTTCCTTTTTTAGATAAAAAGAATTAACCATTATAAATCAGGAAATTGAAAGACCAAAATGTTTTCCAAAGCTGAAATGAAAATATAGGAAGTGTCTGTGTGGTCTCATGAAATCTTTTATCAAAACACTCTTCCGGTAAATGATGTATTGATAATATAAAATTATGTGTACTTCAGTCTACAGACTTTGAAAGCCTTCTATATATGATAAATTAAAAAAAAATAAATTATTGTTTTTAGCAGACCTATTTTTGTATTCATATGAAACAGAATTTGTCCAACGTCTTGTACGTGAAAAGAAGAAAACACTTGCTGATGCTTTCAACTCGACATTAAGATACAAGAACGACATATTGTCAAATAACAATGTTATTTCCATTCTTATGTCAAATAACTTGAAATAAAAGATGCCACAGAGTATTTCCATTCTTATGTATTTCATTCAATATCCATGGGCTTGCTTCTGTCATTTAGAATCACCAATCAAATTGAAGCTTTCGAAAATAGTTAGATAAGAATTCAGCTGACACCTCAACTGCACGTGTTACTAGTTGTTTATCATAGAATGGCTTTATGTGATTGGTTGAGAGATAAGAAAAACAATCAAGATATGTAATTTTTCCGAAAGACGTCGCTACAGTCAGTCCACGGATATTGAATGATATTTGCCAACGGCAACGTGTTGACTCAGGACCGCTGGCTTGCGAGGATGACGCACCTGTTTCATATTTTGGATATTTAACGTTTTGAAAAAGACGTTAATGGTTATCTAACTAGCAAGCCTTATGATAAAAGGATGACTAACTAAATTTGCTACAAAAAGGTATGCAATTGCATCAAGACATAATTTGCCTTGGACCAACAATGTTAAAAAAATTATGGAAGCGAGGGAAAAATTTTGCATAATGAGCTAACCCACGTTTCCAATTATCTTTGAAGCTCTGGCATACCCAACAAACTAGACAGTGGTTCCTTAAAAACTTCAATTAAAAGTAAACAAAAATGTGTCATTTAGGAAAGGACTTAAAAAGGACGTAATGTGCGCCTTTTACGATGTGAAATTCAATGTGATAAAAATAGCAAAATTTAAATAAAATGTTCTTTATTGTTCCTCTTAGCTTGTTCTAGTGACCTATTGCTGTTTATTTTCGCCCGTCGTGCGTTTACATTAAAAATACCCTTTTCTCGGGAAAAGCTGATTCAATTTCCAGTTCTGGCGTAAAGCAACTTTGGATTAAGGGGCTTGATGGATGGGGCTAAACCATCAAAATTATTACAATCTCGGCTTTAAAATTCTTCTGTACTCCCGGACATTAAGCAGACAAACTATTGGTATAATTGTAATAAGCATTGAGCCCTCTACCATAATTATGAAATTTGTGGTCCTAGGATCAAGGGTCCTGGTGCTAGGGTGGAGCTTTGTTGAATAATTTTATTGAGAATTCTGTATTTCTGAAAAGATTATCCTCTGCTTTTGGGCATTTAACAAACAATCAATATGTATAGTTATGATTAGGAAGGGTGCTTCTTCCAAACTTTTGGATTTCATGGTCGCTTAGTGAGAGTTTTGGTTTTGGGCGGGGTTCTATGGATTATATAAAAATGCATTAGCGCTTTGAAAATCTTCTCCTCTACCCACGAGTATTAAGCAAACAAACTCCAGGTAAATACAATGATATATAATATAAGTATATGTTTTCTCTGCTGCTTGGTATATAGGAGGCAGAGGACAAAATTTGTGAAGCAAATGAGAGTTATTCCTCTTTGCTAAATTGTGTTAATCAAAAAATCATTTTATATTAAATAGTTATTTTGTACATAACTATAAGGCCATGATTTATTCTTTTTTGGGGGGAGAAAACCTACAATTTTAAGGTACAGGTACGAGGTAACAGTAATGATAGAAAATGTTTTACATATGCAATAATCAGTTAACATTGCTCTAGTCTTACACTTTACCAATTATAAGATTGAAGAAGTGATTTTAGCTATGAAAAATACGGAGATAACGAACAGTATTCAAGACCAAACGTTCATAAAACAATATAATATAGAAGTCGAGCAAACACAGACCTCCAAAACATCAGAGGTGGGATCAGATGTCATGGAGAAGTGAGCATCTCCTGCTGACCAGTCACACCCACTGTGTGCTCCCTGTCATGATCGGGAAATAACGGAAAATCCATCGTCAATTCAGTTTATCAATAATGTACTAACAATTAGTATGAAAAGGTAATAAAGAAAAATAAAACTTGTACTTGAGACTTGAATTTCTAGACCATTTCAATGTATATATAAGTAATAATATCTGATTGACAGTATCATTGCAGTTTTTAAAAAAAAAAATCACGATCCATCATTTATGTCCCTTCATTAGCAGAGATTGGTCATAAACTTCTACATGACAAGTATTTTTTGTAGTTTTTTTTTTTGACATTTCATCATTTTTAATCAACATTATCCCTGCTTTTTGTAACAATATTAACCGAATAAAAAATATACAAAATGAGTCGTCAATTGAATTTCTAGATTTACTATTACCGGGTAAATTCAAATACTAGCATTGCAAAATGAAAAAAAGGCGCCTTCATATACATTCCTATTGTCTCTACACAACATTTTAGCGACTTGAAAAACAGCAAAATATTAAGTAAAAGATTTAATAGAACAGACCAAAATATATATTTAATGACAAGTACATTCTTAAGAATAAATTTGGGTGTGACGGGTCGGCAGGATATGCTCACTCCTCCATGGCGCCTGATCCCACCTCTGATGTTTTGGAGGTCCGTGTTTGCTCTGCTCCTACTAGTATTTTGTATTGTTTTATGTCATTTTGAGCTTGAAAACTGTTTGTTATCTCCATATAATAATTATTACTGTAAACATAATTATATGAGATGTAATTAGTTTTATTTTAAAAAATATGCCTTTTATATATAGATTGTATTTATTTTTTAACAGATTCCGTTATGGCTATATGCCGATCGGACAATGGCGCTGTTTGGATAACCAATTTCGGTCGTCTAAAATCAGTCCAAGTAAAGGGAAAATGTAGAAAATTCCAAAGACAAAGGGCCTCATTCAGAAATCGACGAAGTAACAATATTATTTCCAAATATTCAGAAAACAATTCATCGAAATTTACTCTCAATCTGATAGCATTTGCATAGTTATTCATATTTTACAGATGCAAAACACAGAAAATCGCATGTTGAGGGCGTAGTGACTCAGGAAAAGGGTAAGTGTATGTATTTTAAAAAAAAAGAAGATTTTTCTGAACTATACTGTAAATCACAATTTACGCGATATCTTATTTTCGCGGGAAAGACAATTACTCTTCATTAGCGAGACAAAATTTTCACGAATTATAGTTCTGCTCTATATATTCTTTATGAATACTAATATAAGCGAGAATGATATTTTCGCGAGCACTATGTCTCGTGTAATTACGTGAAAATAAAGTTCTCGCGAATATTAAGTGATTTACTGTATTATGGTAGTTAAATGTGTTAGTTAAACACTGGAACACTTTTTTATATTATAAATCTTTTGCTATCATCTGGAATAATAAAAATGACATTTTAACGTTAACTCGCTATTAAATAAATTTTCACCAGACGGGGGGCAATGTAAAATTGTTGTTTTTTCTCTTTTTTTCTTCCTTAAATTATTTTTTTTAAAAATAGGGAGGTATTTATTACTTATCTACGGTATGAGGGGGAAATTATATATCAGTGCTTAAGTACGCCGATTATCTATACTATGTTAAAATTGTTTGCTTTTATTGTAAGTAGATCTACAATAAATGCAAATGTAAAAGAAGGAAGAAAATATGAAGAGTATCAGGTGCAAAGATTGCAACCCTTATTCAAGGCAATTTAAGATGGAATATACACGAATGCGTATTATAGAATAAATTACTTTAAAAAAAATCGGTTATTTCGATTTGATAATCACTCTGCATTCATATATTACCATACCAACTATTGCTCGAATAAGAATGCAAAAATGTGGACCTAAAATGTAAGATTCCATCAAAATTTTCAGAAAGAGAAACAACACAAAGCTTTTGAAAATTCTTGTTGTAAATCAATTCTTGATGTTTAATGATGTCCAAAAACAATGAATGCAGCTGCAGCGTACTGATTTTTAATTGAATTTAGAAAAATAGTACTTTTTTAAACGTCAGTGTTTTTTCAGTGTTTTTGATTTAGAAATTAATTTATCTGGGAAAATTTAATAATTTTCTAAAATCAACAGACGCTTAAATTCAAATGCTGCCATTTTCTTTAATTCATGGATAGTTTTTAAAGTGGCATTTGAAGATGTCCATATTTGGACAACATCGTATTCTTCTTGTTACTTACAGGAATGGTCCGGGATCGTGTTGGATGGCAGAAGAAGTCCTACCGTTTTTCCTGTCCAAAGAAATCTTTAATTTATTCTCTTGACCTCTATATGTCTAACCTTCCCTCGTCAAAAAGATCGACACAATTATGCAAAGGAATATCCCCACAACTTTTGATACAAAAGAATAATTGTTTCTGGAAGAGGTCCTGCACGGTCAGCTGGCACGCACCACAAATTTTTGCTACTTCCAATAGAGTTGATTGTGTAGGACTACAGGCACCACTCTTTATTACAAAGGGACATGAGTGTATTCCGAAAAGTAGGTAGAAATATTTACGTCTTTAGAAAGACAATTTAAATCCTTTTATGATATTTGGTTTTTGTGAAGTACCAAGGTTGTCAATTTTCAAAAAGACACTGTTAATGTTCAAATGTTTATGAAATTTTATTACATGTACAATATTCAGGTTGATTATGAGATATAAAAACAGAATGGATGAAATAGGTGGAGAAAACGAACAGTAATCGAGCTCAAAAGTCCATTAAACATTACAATATAGGAGCAGGACAAACGCGGACCTCAGAAAAATCAGAGGTGGGATAAGGTGCCATGGAGGAGTGAGCATCCCCAGCCGACCGTTCACACCCACCGTCTGCTCCATAAGTGAAAATAACGAGAGTGATTGATGGACAGAAAGTTTTAAAGCCAATTCAAACAAATTATATCAACAGCAGAGCAGACACGGACCGCTGAAACATCAGAGGTGTGATCAGTACCATTGAGGAGTAAGCATCACCTGTGTACCGGTCACACCCCTCGTGTGCTCTTCGTCATGATCTACCAAACGGAAAAAAAATCCATTGAAATCAAGTGTGTAAACTTCATTAAGCGCTTGAAATCATGAGAGATTGCTGTGACCTTCAACATTTAGATATATTGCGACGTACATGTATTGTCAATAAACATTGAACAATACGATATATTCAGAAGTCTTGTTTTAAGTTATCATTTTGTTAGTTCTTTAGATGGTAAAAAATCACCTTATCAAGAAATACAATCAATCATTAAGTCAAATGCTGAAGGACATTTTTCATATTTAATGTAAAGCCATAATTTACACAATGTATTTTCGATGGATTTTTTTCGTTATTTCCCGAACATGTCAAGGAGCACACGGTGAGTGTGACTGGTCGGCAGAGGATGCTCACTCTGCCATGGTATCTGATCCCTCCTTTGATGTTTTAGAGGTCTATGGTTTCTCTGCTTCTGATTTTCATTCTTTGAATGAGCTGTTGAGCTTAAATACTTTTCGTTTTCTCCATATATTTCATTGACTTGCTGCCATTGGTCTACTTTAGATCTTGCGAATAATGTCTTTAAACGTACAAGCTGTTGATAAAGGTGTTTCATCACTTTGTTTGTCAATACCAGGGTAGCTTGTCTCGCTTGAATTTTTTTCCTCGGTGGGGGTACAGGAAGGAGAATTAAAATATAGCAAATATCGCTTTCAATGTTATTCACTCCCCATATCTGAAAAATAGTCGTCAAATGTTAAAACGGCACTCAAGGCCATTGAGCAGTGAATGTTCTTATTAATGCTAACGCCCGCCTCGGCACACAGGGCCTTAGTTTTAAGGTCTCATTCGAAGGTGCCACAACTTTCACTTTGAAGTGCCAAGCACTTAGCGAAGGAACAGTTTCTACCTATTTTCTATCGACTTATGTCAGTGGCCGTAGGGGTCGGCACAGCTGACTGAGCTACAGTAATCTTTGTGAAGATTTCTATGATGTTTAAGTCATTTCAATACAGGTAGAAAAGGCCGAACTCACCTTGGTTGACTGGAATGTTTTAAAGTATTAAACACTGAAATGTCAATTTAAAAAAAAGAAGATTTTCATCAATAGAAAGTGAACTGTGACATAAGATGGATTTTCAGATGTAGAACCCGGTAGTCAAACATAGTTCTTTTTCAATACCGTTATGAAATTGAGTCTTTCAGCGGTTACTGCTGGAATCACAATATTTATGTGGTCTTTTCTCTAGGATCATGGAGTAAGAAGTTAATACTTACAGGTATGTCGCGTACTCGAATATATTGTGTGATGTGGAAACTGGTTCTTTGGAATAAATCGTTTAAACCGATGCCACATGTCGCAGTACGTTCTAGCACGAAAAGAATCCATCAATGCTCAAAGGTTGTTTAGGCCCAATACAGGTCCACATTTGCAACTTTCAAACAGCAAGAACCAGCCTAGTGGTAGAGTGTTCGCTTCGTGAACGGGAGCTCCAGGTTCGATTCTCGTTCGCGGTGCCGCGTCAAACTTTAGACGTAAACACAGATAGTGACTGTTTCTTCGCCAAGCGCTCGGCATTAGAATGAAAGTCACGGGTCTTTCGGATATGACCTTAAAAACGTAGATCCCATGTCACGGTAGGCGTTGGGATGATAAAAACGCTCACTGCTCAATGGCCCTGAGTGCCGAGAGTATAGGTTAAAATTTGAAGCCCTTCACCGACGTACGGTGACTTCTCTATATGAGTGAACGTTAAACAATATACAATCAATCAAACGGCAATTGACTGCGTCTCAAATATGTGAAAAATTCTAGAAGGGACGTTAAATAATCAAACAAACAAAACATCTACGCAGTATAATTTTTGTAATGTTATACCCAAAACAATCCATTTTATTTTTTCATGTCAAATGAACATCAAATCTTGAAAGAATTTTCTACCTCTGTACAATTTTAGAGAAAATCCATGATATTTGTAACAAACGTAAAGTAAATGGCAGAAATGGAATCCTTAGAAGCCATGATGATTATCCCTGGAATTATAGATCCAAACAACAAAATTGTAAAACGGCCATCAAGGTATGTAAATTCAAAAACCAGAAACTTTCACTACATATCCTTCTGTCAGTCTAGTATTGAACATTGAGCATTTTAAATAGCCCATGGACTTCTTTTTTATATGAATTAGATTCATCGAGAAGGGAGTTTGTACCTCCGAATTCATGACCTTGATGTAGATACCTCATACGATGATTTTAGCATCACACATGTTCGGGGCAACCTCACGTGCACCTTAAGACAGTCTCTTGCAGAAAAAGGCGTTTGGCTCTATGGTGGAGAATTGAATATTTCTTTTAGAGTCACGGACAATTCTAAATCTGGCAGAGGATTCATCATATCCTACAAAAGTAATTTCTGACCACCTGTCAAAAATAAATACTAGTAATAAGTAATTGATAATCTTTCAGCTCCAAACATTCTATACTATATTTTTTTTAAATTAATTACTAGATATTTTAAAAATATAAACGAGTAAGATGTTTTGATATGCAATAAATACAGTGTGAAGAGGCCAGTGTTATTTTTAAGTTATAGAAAGATGACATTCATTTGAAAAAAAAAATATATAGCTATTTTTGTTGAGCTGAGTTAGAAAGAATATGGAAGTTACGACATTTTTTTTTAATTTCAGATGTGAAAACAAAGGTCCCCCATTCACCAGAAGGAAAGGACCACATGTGTACTAAGATTATTAGGCATTAGTATTTCGTATTTTTTCAACGTAAAATTGCGCACAATATTCTCGAAATCAATAAGTTACAGATTATACTTAAAATGTGTTTCTATGATTTAATAATCGCAATCATCATGTACAAGTCATTCAAACTAGTCAATCTTATACATGTAATCAACAACTCATAATTTACATCTCTAACTTCCGTTTGAAACACGTTGTGTTAATTATGAAAACAACTAACTGATCAATATGTTTGTTTAAGTTTGCTAAATAATTTGGGAGGGGGTATTGAAGAAGTTAAATTCTTATAAATACAGAGAAAATTGCTATACATTACGTATATGCACAAAAGAGATATAAAGAGAGTATCTCTTTAATTATTAGATGGTTTTCTATCTTGATTCTAGATGAAAAATGCAGAGTTGCAACTTACAACTACACTCATGATTGGCAACTCTTAAATGATAATGGTTATTGTATTTTTCAGCCCCCACCCCCCAAAAATGGTAGGCGTTAAATGCATCTTGTTCATTATATTGTGTTTATTAGGAGATAAATAATAATTAAGTGGTTGAATATTAAGGTACATGTAATATGTGAATTTTTATTGAAAACTTATCAATATTTTGACAAAATTTTATGTTTTAGGTGCTCATTCGACATTACCTTTTATATGAGCAATTGAGATATTTAGAATCGTAAGGTTGACTTCGTACAAAATGCATTTTACAAGACGTAGTTTGTTTTTCCTTAAATAATATATACATGTATGTATATAATATATCACTCATACTTGAACTTTATTAAACTTCCTCCAAAAATGATAATAAGTTCCAATTTCATAAACTGTCATTGGTTTAAATGAGGTGGACAATGTACAAAAAGACTGTACAAACAGGAGTTATGACAACAAATATCATTCATATATAATGACTAAGCTGACCTGTTCTATTTATTAAGGAAATTATGTTTATTACTTTTGTTTAAATTTTCAACTGGAATTTCCATATATACTAGTATACAGAAAATCAACGACCTTCTAGAAGTTAATGTACAACTGATGCCGGAAGATTATGTTTTGAATTCCCAAGTGAAATGGATAACATCAATGTAAATTAATGAATTCATTTCCGATTATCATCTAATTATGCGAATGTTATTTCAAATTCCAAAACTCCTCTTCTTCCGTTCCGCATTCACAGAAAGAAGAATTTCCTGTTTTAAAAAAAAAGAGAGAATGCAATATTTAAAACATATCTTTTCTACCTTGTTAAATTTTTTTGATAAGATAAAAGTGAATTTATTTTTGCTGATATGTTTTAGCTTAAAAACATTTTAATGTGAACGTATTAAATCACCATTAAAGTACTTTTAAATGTGTTGTCCCCTAATTCTTATTTATGCCTTTCTCGTCTCAAATTAATTACCAAACACGTAAGCGCATGGAGAAAAGGTTATCTTACACTATACATTTACAAAGCAAATGACGATCAGCTAAAAGCGGTGAAACAAATAATTCAAGTAGTTTATAAAATTGAATGACATTTAATGAAATTACACGAGGATTTATTTGACTAATTTTTTCACGAAATAAGTTTTCTTGCCTTGATGAAGCTACTCGGTTTTTGAGTACATTGGAATACTATGCAATCTCTCTGGAGATGATACCCGAGTGGATTCACATCAGAGAGAAAATTTTAAAAGTGAGAACTGCTCTTTCGCCAAGCGCTTTGTACTTTGAAGAAAAGGTTGCAGCCAAGTGAATAAGACGATACTTTAAAAAAAAACCGCCTCTTGTCACGGAATGGACACACTAAAGATCCCTTACTGCTCAATGAAGTATAAAGATACATAACTTCTGATAGTATTTTTTTAATAACATGGGATGTTGCATCTGTCCTCAAATGAGATCCATTCCATAGGAGCAGAATGGGTTTTATCAATACATGTACATCATCTTTATAGTATACTTAAGGACAGATGATACAAACAAAAAATAGATGTCTGGATTGGTATATATTTTTGGACCTAATTTCATTGCAAATGATGCAAATAACAAATTTCTGGAATATAAAGAAATTGTAAACCTTCTGTGACGTTCAAAATTCTACCCTTCTGAAACAATCCTTATTATTCTATACAAATATTTTTCACTTCAAATTTCATTTTCGTCCAACTTTGAATAAAAAATTAAGAACTATGCGGTGAAAGTTATTCTTTTTAGTCATTAAAACATGGCCCAAGTTGTTATTTTCAAAATTTTTGTCAAAAGTTTGTTTGTATCATCTGTCGTTAATTGTTTTCTCTGTTTGAGAAAAGGTTTGCCATATTGCCATACTTGGTTTTTTTTTCAAATTAATTTGCTTAATAAATTGACTGCCTTTACATGCTTGACATGGGAGTGAAGTAAAAGAAATGTTTATTCTTGAAAAATGGATGCGGTTTCCACAAGCATCGGGTTGTAGTAGCCCATCACTCTCCCCTCCTCGCTAATAATTTTGCCAAACTATACTGTACAATAAAAAAAGCAGTTATGATTCTCGAAAAATTTTGCCAATATATACCACATTGTTTTCAAAGACAAATAAAACAAAAACGACTGGGGGGCTTTTTTGAATTGTTGTTAGGTTGTGCCTTCCTTCCCAAACTGGAATCTTTACTTAGACTGACCATGATATTTTTGGTAAAGTTGTCTTTTTACGATAAGATATCCACGGTGTTCTCAGATTCAAGGATAAGGTACGTAGTAATATTACGTTGAGAAACATATCAAATAACCCTGAGAACGTTTTCCCCTCATTTTGAATGAAGAAACACTTAATAAACTTTAATTTATATATGAAAACTGCAGCTTCTCTAAGTTACGTAATATTATCAGTGCAGCCAGGCACCACATTTCAAATCATCAAACAAACCCAGTTTTTTGTTGATTTTGGCATGAACTACTCACCGTGAAGGCTAACTGATTTGCTGTTTAATACCATAGTCTTCATTACGGATCTGCAGGCATCCTTTTTCCTTCTCTTTGCTCTCCTCTTTATCCTAAATTTCTTATCCTTGTTTTTAGCCTTTCTATTTTTATTATGTCGATTTTGATGTACACTGTTTTTAAGTTTTTTCTTTCTCCTCTTTGAACTGACTTTATCTAAAGAAAATACAAAACCAGGTTTAAAGTAATGCAAAAACGCTTCTTCGTTGATGCAAAAGGACGATGCAATATAAAAAATATAGCTACATACGCTGATAGCATATCACAAACCCCTTTCCCGTTGCTCCACGTGTACTCCAGTTGGTTGTGAAGTCTATAAAAACACTCGATGATTTTATTCCTCGGATATTTATATTTCGAGTTTTCTTCACATTTTTCCTTCTTTTCCGCCTATTCTTAGAGTATCTTACCACTAAATTGTTGTTTTGAAAGTTAATATCTAACCAAACAATCGTTAGAAGGGTATTATAGGAGATGGTATCCAACACGGGATATGAAAATGTCAAACTACAATTTTTCTGATTTTCTGGATAATCCCATGGTGTTTGACTGTGGCTTCTTATTATCCCTGAGCTATGACCTCTGTGTTGTATACGAAGTGTTGATATTCCACCATTTTGGTAACAAATATCTCTTATATCTATAATTCTGGTACACGACAGTTTCTTCACATGAAATGATTTTGGCAAAACAAAGCAATTGTCTTCTTGTTTGAATGGCGTGAAAGTGTGTGTACTTGTGAAGAACACAATTGCTTGTGATGGAATTTTGATGGAACAGTTTTGTTTCCAATAACAGGACATAACATCGACTTGAGTATCTGGGGGTAGACCCCTGCATGTTGAGGTGTGGTCACAGTCACGGTTCCCGGCATACATATCTATTTGTGATATTACAAATCCTCTTTTACACGTCAAATGAACCTCGTGGCAGTTAGATAGATTTTGTCTATGATCCACACACCATTCTTTTGCATCTGAAATTGAACGAATACGGCTTTATTTAATATAAATTAGCGCCATTTTTCTTCTTTTACATTTATTTTAACGTAAGAATAATTAATTTAAAAGGAAAATAGTGTAATCGGATAATAAAAACTTAAATCGTAAGATGCAAGGTTTAAATGCATGTTATCAAAATCTTAATAAGACTGAAATAAATCAACAACAATCACTGTACAAAATGTAAAAATTTAACTGAAAGCATGAGCAAAAATTCAAAAAATGCAAAAAACGTTGATTAAGCCACACAGATATATATCTCTTTAAGTTGTCACGTGGTTCAGGGTAAAGGGTTAAGAAAGTTAAATGTCACACCTAGTATATGATTGAGAGCATGTCCTTACCTATCAAGATAATAACCACCGACAATAATACCCAACTTAAGTAGGTTCCATTCATGTTCACCGACGACTTGCAGCAAATATATGTTGTTTATTCAGATAAGAGTTATATGATCAAGGGTTTGTAAAAAATAGAATATCGAAGTGCGAAGTGCTAGCGTTTGATAACATGGCACACTAAACTCAATAAAACAGTTAGACTTTGTATTAAAAAGAAACATTAAATTTAGTGCATATCCAGGGAATCATTACACCCGTATAATACATTTCTGCATCAAAACGTCCGGACCAATTCATAAAACAACTCTAACAAGCCTTGAAGGATTTATTAGCGAGGTTAAAATGTTCCATACAACAAGATGCCGGGCAGGCGTCCAACGGAATTCTTGGTTTGGAGTGTGACCAAATGGATCATATTTGATTGAGCTTAACATAGAACTGTGAAAAAAATGCACAGAGTGATAGTGTTTGTTTACATTTTGATTACCATTTTCTGCACGTTCCCTTGCAAATGTAAGTAAAATATGGGTCTTTTGATTCATTGATAACCGGCGTAATTATTGCAGTGACGAGAAATAAAACCATTATGATTCATTGATAACCGGCGTAATTATTGCAGTGTCAAGAAAAAAACCCATTATGATTCATACATAACCGGCGTAATTATAGCATTGTCAAGAAATAAAGCCATTTGTATTTTGTGCTTAGATATCTTGTGAAATAATCAAAATGAAAGTTAATCCTAAAGTCAATTTTGAATACTTGAAACCATGTAAACATTGAAAGGATTGGCTTGATATTGATCATTTTAGGCGGAAAGAATGACACCTGTAGAAATTTCAAACGTAGACACATTCTGAAAATGACGTGTAACAATGGCGGGAAACTTTTCTTACCGGAAGTGGTTGGATTCTATGGAAAAGACTGTGGTCTTTGTCAGGGACAGTCGGCACAACTCCTCACACATAAATACAACTGTTCCTGGAGAAAACGCTGTAAAATCAAACTCAACAACAGGCGTATGGTTACAGGCTGTTATAGGAACATGAAGTCTGTGAAAGTTTTGAAAAGTCCATGCATCCAAAATGGTGATTAGAAAATTATATCACTCTTGTACTGAAAACGAAATACGGAGGATAATCTCTGTAAGGTCAGAATACAAATATTCTGGTAATTGGATAAATAAAGATACAATCGGTTCAGTGTGAATGAAGATAACATAATTTTTTTTCTCATTTTTCACTTCATTTCTTCTTAAACTTAAAAGCATTTTACATTTAGCACGACAGACGCGTTCATAATTTCCTTACAAAGACTCAGAAAAAATTCTTGTGATACAATTTAGATTTTCTTTATAGCAAAGTTATAATGTTTATTAAAAAACTTTTATGAATTACTTGATGTATGAAAACTAAATAATTATGCATTGTGGAAGAATATGAACGAAAATTGTGAAGTTTTAGGGAGAAAATTAATGAACTGGCTTATCGCGATCATTTTTTAAGTAACCCAAAGGAAATATCATTATTGCTAGTTAACACCCTTTGAAAAAGAAAAAAAACCTGATGTAGTAAGCATGTATCAAAATTTGTTTTAAAAAAATTTAGCCATAAGATACATGTGCACAATCATATCGATAAAAGGACATTTTGATTGAAATGAGGTGTCCATGTTGCCTTAATATGTAATTTTAAATGATTCATCTTAAGATTAAAAGATGAATTTGAGAGTGTATTTTTAAGTCCCATACTGATTACCAAGCTGTTCAACGCATATCATTCAGTTTTTTTCTCCCTCTTTTTTAGGAACTAAAATATATGATTTAATCACAACAAAAACACTTCATGGAAATAGTCCTGTGTACTACCTTCCTGAAACAACAATCATCGTAAGAAGTCATCGAAATTTTCCTTGGAATTATAGATATCTAACAAATCATCCTCTTCATCGTCTCAGATTCAATATCCGGATGGAAAACATCGGTCGAAAAATTGTGCTTTCTGTTGTTCATCTCGACATTCACTCAGCTACAGACAAAATATACGTCATTTACAACAAGGTTATAAACATTACAAATGAAAAGGATCTTGAAATAGACATTGACAACATCTCATACTTTGATATTGAGTTGAACTCTACCTCTTTTATTTCGAATACAGCCAGAGCCGACGGATTTGTGCTGTGCTTGAAAAGTAAGAATTCAGTTTTTCTCCAGAGTACTTCTTAAGAAGTGAAAGTTAAAGTAAATTTTATCTTAAACTTAAAAAATATAAAGATTGAATACACATCAAAAAGAATGAAAATAATGCAGAAAATCATTATCTGAATAATTAATAATCTGGATCTATATATGTAGATTCATGTTTATTTATTCATTTTCAGCTTTTCATTATTGATATTTGAATTGAACCATATCTTTGTGAATAAAATGTATCGAATAATGTTCAATGTCGTATTAAAGAGATCATTTTATTTTGCATAGTGATGAATAAAACGTCCCAGAATTTTAATTCAATTTGTGAAGACGTCATCAGATATGATCAACTACAAATTTCATTGCTCAAATCATCTTTTAGGAAACGTATAAAAGGTAAAGATTTAAGTTTCTCATTTAAATAATTAACAACTGTTGTATAACGGTAGTGCATGGAATTTTTCCCAAGAAAACTTTTAGGAGATAGCTGTTCGATTTGTTACCAATTTTGTGCTGGTTATTTGCAATTAAAACAAAACGTTTGCCTTTCAATAGATTTATCACTTTGAGCAGAGTTGAAATAGCATAGAAAACTCGAAATGAAAGTTTACTTATGCGTAAAATTGTCAGATTTTCTATATTTTTGAAAACTTGTTAATTTTATCTTATATTATTATTTATATTATTGAGAATTATTTATATCCACTTAATAAAAAAGTGTTTTCAGGAGAAGGGGGACAAAAATAATTTTGTGTTTCAATAATGGTTTTTACATTTAAAATACTCTAGGCAAGAAGGGACGAAGGTGTTGCCGAAGAAAAACCAGTGCAAAGAGATTTACAGCTTAACTTTTTTCTTACTATTTATCTTTTGTTATTTGTTAATCTCGTTATAATAAAAAAAAATACTATTAGTATTGTGTCTTTTTTCTAACTCTCCATGCATGGTTCTTTCACGAGTAAACAAGTTAAATACTCTTGCATCTATTTCACATCCCAGTCCCACCAAACCAGCATGAAAAAGTTTTAAATATTTCGTCATCGTTGTTCTTGAGTGATTCAAAAATATTAATCTCAGGGCTTCAACTTTAATTTTAATCAAACTGTATTACAAAGCGGGAGGGTATAATTATAGTGATCGGGATGTCCATCCGTCTGTCTCTCCGTCTGTACGTCCGTCTGTTACGCTTTGGGGTACCCATCTCTTATCCGCAACACCTCTTTTACCACTGAATGAAATTTAATGATACTTTCACAGAATCTTTGTTATATAATGCCATTGCACATCTCCTATTTTACTTTTTGATCGGACACATATTTTGGGTTTCCCAGAGCAAAACATGAACACGGCCTTTTTTCTTAAATATCAAAAGGTATCCATCTCTTATCCGCAACTCCTCCTATACCACTGAATAAAATTTAATGATACTTTTACAGATTCTTTATTACATAATGCCATTGTGACCTCTTATTTTACTTTTTGATCTGACACTTATTTCGGGTTTCCCAGTGCAAAACATGGACTTTTCCATTATAACCATATGGAAGGCGGGGGTATCATATAGGTGTCACAACAGTATTAATTTCTGCTAAATATTCTTACCAAAAATGCGCAAGTTTGAGTAGATGTAACTAATTCAAAACAAACTTCTGAGAAGTTTTCTGTTCAGATCTTGTAAAACCATTCTTTATAAAGATTTTAGTACCAAAAAATACATAGCCATCCAGCAAGGCACGCAAGTTTGTTTCGGTCGAAGTCGAGCAGGTGCTTGAAATTCTAGTCCAGGGCCTAATCACTCCCCACTCTTGACAGTATATAGAAAAATCAGCACGCCCTAAATTTTAATAAATCTGGTCAATACAGGAAGTTTACATGATGTTTTTCATCTCATAAAAAAATTCAGCTCCAATCTCGTATCAAAATGCCCGAATCGGAAGGGAAGATTCCGGGATTATTTTGTATTAACCATGATTTGACGTGAACCAAAGTGTAATACTGTTATGACACCTGCATAGTGAGCTTCTTGCTCACAGTATCTCTAGTCTAATACTGTGTTATGGATGACCCTCTACTATGGCAAGTCAAACGTTGCAATATTCGATCTTTTCCATTTGTATTGTAAAATTTTTCATTTGTATTGTATAATGTTTATTTGTATTGTATAATTTTCCATTTGTATTGTATAATTTTTTATTGATATTGTATAATTTTTCATTTGTTTTGTATAATTTTTATTTGTATTCTATAATTTTCCATATATATTGTATAATTTTTCATTTGTTTTGTATAATTTTTATTTGTATTCTATAATTTTCCATTTGTATTCTATAATTTTCCATTTGTATTGTATAATTTTTCATTTGTATTCTATATTTTCCATTTGCATTATATAATTTTCATTTGTATTGTATAATTTTTCATTTGCATTGTATATTTTTCATTTATATTGTAAAAAAATCATTTGTATTGTATAATTTTTTATTTGATTTCTATATTTTCCATTTGTATTGTATAATCTTTCATTAGCATTGTATCCGAGGGATTGTTTATTTTGGTTTGTTACGAAGTTCCCCCCCCCCGGTTCCGACGCCTATGAGAGTGCCTCTTTACCTTTTTTTGGTTGGTTTAGCCCCTTTTTTCGATTAGCCCCCCACTTTCAATTTGCTTCCGACGCCCATGCTGTGATCTGTTTTGGTTTCCGTCTCGGAACAGATCACAGTATAGGCGTCGGAAGCAAATTGAAATAGGAGGGGGGGGCTAATCGAAAGTGGGGTGGGGTGGGGGGCTAAACCAACCAAAAAAAGGTAAATCCAAATTTTTAATGCCTATATAATGTCTACTTTTGAAAAAAAAAGTCGGGGGGGGGGGGGGGTTAAGCCCCCCTCCCCGGTTCCAACGCCTATGCGACAGAGTGCAGAGACATCGGCCGTTATAACTGATTAATCAGCGTGGCCCTTTACATTACTGGTCACCTGTCTGTATATCGAGGATCAGACAGGCAAGCCAGTCTATGCTCAGACTGGATAACACGTGTAAACTTCCCGGAACATATATCTCGGGTATTAGCAAATCCGATATATGATTAGATTAAACCAATGAAATCCTTCGTAACAAAACCAAAATAAACAATCCCTCGGATACAATGCAAATGAAAAATTATACAATACAAATGGAAAATATAGAATACAAATGAAAAATTATACAATACAAATGATTTTTTACAATATAAATGAAAAATATATAATGCAAATGAAAAATTATACAATGCAAATGAAAAATTGTAGAATACAAATGGAAAATTATACAATACAAATGAAAATTATACAATGCAAATGAAAAATTATACAATACAAATGGAAAATTTTACAATACAAATGGAAAAGATCGAATATTGCAACGTTTGACTTGCCATACTCTACGGCCTCGCCAAATTTTTCTTTGAACATTATGCAGAATTTTCCTAAAACCCTGAAAATAAGCCGCGGCTTATTTTAAGTTTTGGTAAGAAAATGGGGGCTTATTTTCAAAACCGTCTTATTTTCAAATCACGGCTTATTATCAATACAAAATACTGGTAATGGATGAGAACATTATCACAGCTTATTACCAATACAATAAATTGTAATTAATATTTTGAGAACTATTTGTTCAACAGTTTCTAAAAATAAAATATCCAGGTCAACTTCTGTAAGAGTTAAGTGCTCCAGTGTCTTTAATTCCCTTTTTAAAACAGTGAGCTTTTAGCAATGACGACTGCTAGACGAACTCCTACTCCAAGAAAAAGTTAGAATAGAGAATTTAAGCTTAGGGTAAAGCTTTAAAATAGAAACACATTTAAGTTTAACTTCTTTCCTAATGGCATTGTCATGACTGACTTATTTTCAAAACAGGCTTATTTTCGGGTAATTTTCTATGCAAGAAATAGGTGGCTTATTTTCAAAACCGGCTTATTATTAAATCCGTCTTATTTTCAAGGTTTTAGGGTATCTTATGGTGAACCAGAGATATTTTCGAAACACCATCACACTATGCCTTGATCAATTGGTATATAAGTGAAAGAAAAACAATTCTTTATTTTTTGCCGGTCATGGTAGCCTAGTGGTAGATCGTTCGTTTCGTGATCAGGATGCCCATTTCGATTTTCGTACACCGCTCCGCGTCAATACTAACGTTCCTTTCTCAAGTGCACGGCTCTAGATTAAGTGAAAAACTCAATCAATCGATCAGGCATCTTGGTTTCAACTCTTGATTTGACATTAGTACTAAGTAATGTTTTACTGGGATTGCCAAAATTGTCGCAAACGTTTTACATCATTTTACATATGAAGTGCTAAATCATATATCAAAACTAGAGGTACTGTGAGCACTGAGCTCACTAAATGATACCATCCGCCTCCAATTTGATTATAATGGCAAAGTTCATGTTTTGCTACGGGAAGCTCGAAATAAGTTTCAGATCAAAAGGTAAAATAAGAGGTACACAATGACATCATGTAACAAAGATTCTATGAAAGTATCATTAAATTTTATACCGTGGTATAGGAGGAGTTACGGATAAGAGATGGGTACCCTTTAATATAATAGAAAGAATGGCAGGTCAATGTTTCACTATGGGAAACCCGAAATATGTGTCCATTAAAAAGTAAAATAAGAGGTGCACAATGACACTATGTAACAAAGATTCTGTGAAAGTCTCATTAAATTTCATTCAGTGGTATAGGAGGAGTTGCAGATAAGAGATGGGTTCCCAATAGTGCAACAGACGGATGGACGGACGGAAGGACAGTCGTACAGACAGACGGACGGACACCCCGATCATTATATAGCTTCCCACTTATCTAACGGGGGATATATAATAACATATGTCCCAGTTTAAGTTTAACCTTGATCTTGAATAATTCCTCATTGTAGGTAATGTAGCACTTTCTTATCTATTACAGATGGGTGAAGGTTATATTGCACTTCTTGTATGTTACAGATGAATAAACATTTTACATTTAATCAAAGTATATTAAAGATTTTATGTTTTGTTGAATTGTTGAGTTGACCTTTGTCCTGACCTGGAAATTCATAAATTGACTCCTGATGTGGTTAACCCTTTTATGCATTAATGAAAAAAATATATCCATGATATCCGAATTATTAAGTTAGTTTGTTGACTTTGTCGAATACAAGAAAATGAGGTACATTTGGCTCATTCTTTGTTAAATGAGAAGGTGAATTATAAGTGATAAATATAATTCAAGAATTCCTCTTACAATTGTGTCTGACGGTATCGTTTTTGTGGGTTTTTTTTCAGGGCCATGAGGGTTTTGTGCATAAAGTACATTTCAAGATGTTAAATTCAGCATATGTGTGTGTAGAATTCGTTCAGATCACGAACGATTCAAAAAGTTGTATAAGATTTTTTTCTAGTTCCTTTTTTCAATTCTTTCACCGCTGGAGTAAGCAGACGTGTTACAAATGACGCCTTTTTCTGATCCACATTCTACAGTATACTACAAAATTACGTCATTTTCTTCAATGGATTGTAGTAACACTTAAAATTAATATTATAATGGTGTGAGTATTATGTCATTTCAAAAGCCAGCTCTGTCCATCCATAACTGTCTAAGGAAATCAAAACCGTACATACACCGTGATTAGCTAAGGACGGACGGAAATTGTCTGAAAATGTTCTCCTGTCATTGTTTACAAGTTCGTATAAATTGAGCTGAGATAATTAAAAGCAACAAAATCCTATGTTCTCTAGGAATTAGGAATTGGTGTAGCCTGACATAATTGAATTTAACATAGTAATTTTGGATACGATTTTTAATGTGCAGCGGAACATTTTAAAACAAGCTCAAGTATCATCTCTAAAACAAATGACTATGCCTGCATTGCCAGTTTTTTTGCTACTGACGTTTAGTATCTTTATCATAACAGGTAAGAAATATAATATATATAGTGTGATAATCAATTTTTAGTTGTAAAATTATAAATGACACAACATTTAGCGTTTTTTTTTTAAATTGCCAAATAGTTTATAATATAGTTAAAAATAAAAAAATAATAATAATAAATCATGCATCATTGCATTTCTTTATTTCAAATTTTACAAGTTAATGATGATTATTAAGTTATATAAATATCATTTGGAACTTTCATACAAATGCTCATTTTTAGGAGTGCATACTGTTGAGTATTATTGAATAATGCATTCACATTAAAATAGATTTAAAAAAAAACATTTTATCTTTAAAGTTTTTTTTTTTATTTACAGTTGAGACAAAACAGAGAGAGTTATCTGTCGTGTGCACTAATGGAAGTCAACTGATACAAGTTTCTGGCTACAAGAGCAAATATTTCAAGACAGACAGTGTTGAGTTACTAGATGACTCTTTCAGGACCTCGCCAATACATTGCATGTGGAAAAAGAAATGTACAATTAAGATCAGGCGAAAGGGATTGAAAAGGAGGAAAAGATGGTTTGAGAAAAATATGCAATGTCTCAAAAAAGGTGCCGCATGTTTTTAAAATCTTTTAAAATAATAAATACCCGTTTCAGCCACCATGAAAAATAAATAAAAATGATAAAATAAAAAAATCGGCGTCTATATGCCTTTGACAAAATAAAATAAAATCAAAAACATGTACTGTTGCTTGAAATCATTGAATTGAATTTTTAGATGCAATGTCGTTGTTTTTTTTTTTTTAAGAACATGAATTGAATTATTAAGTCAGGTTTGTTTAATTTTAATAAATACTCCACATCTTATTAAATAATACAAAGAAAATATGTAACTTTTTATCGAGAAACTTAAATAAAACAAAAAAAAAAAAGTAATTCCAAAATAACTTATTTCAATAATTTCTAATTTTATCTTTTTTTAAAAATCTTATTAAGTATATCTCCTTCTTTCATCTTACAAAGATGCAATTCTAACACGAAGTTTAATTGTAACGCGTGAATAGAATTTTCAAAGTCACCAATAAGTATATTTTAAGAGTTTATATGTCTTTATTTATTTGTTTATATTAAATACCAATCCTTCTTAAGGTAGGATTCTTCTCACATTGCTTGTATTTAAAAATTAATGAAATTTTCACAGAATCAAGAGGACAATATCACTAAGTGATGGTATCAGCGAGATTAAATTTGACCGTTTAATATTAGAGGCAAGGTCAGGTCAAGGTCATTACCTTTTTCCTAGACATAAAGAACAAAAAATTACTGTTTCCAATCATGCGATCCCTACTTGTAATTCAAAAGATTGAATATTTTTTTTTTGCATAAAAAGATACTACCATATAGGGCCTATAAGATGATAATACCAAATTAAGATGGATATTTTAAATAAAATGGATATTTGCTAATCCGAATTTCCTCTACTTTTCTTAATTTTTTAGGATTTATTAGTTATTTTTATATGCTTCCTATATTTAACTTTTTCCAATTTTCACATATAGTAAAGTCTTCACATAAAGGTACAAAATGATACAAAAACTAAAAGTTTTGATCGTTTCCTAAGAGAGAAATAACTCTTTTTACGGATTTTTGGCTCAGATTTGTACTTAAGATTTGAAGCATTTAAAAGCCAGCATAGTTCTAGCATGTGTGAAAAATCTTATTTATTTGATATATTTTGAAACTTTAGTCCCTTATTATTAATCTAACTTACATTTGAAAATTTTGTCTAGTCTTTGACTGTGTAAAAATTATAACTAAATTCAATGTTCTATAATAATTTTGAGAAGCAGAAAAGAAGATATTTTCATACGCCATCATTCCGCCAAAAATATAGTCCCTGCTGGTTTTCAAACGCAGTTTACCATTTCTATTATATTGTGATGAGGATAAAATAAAATCCCTTACACCTAAATATATAAGACATATAAGCAAATATACTTGAATGTTTCATCTAGTCAGAAACACTGTTTTACATCTTCCTAGATACAAAGATCTACGATCTGATCTCCAAAGAAGCATCCAAACCGAACAGGATTAGAGAGTTGGGAGAACAAACAACTATTGTCCGAAGTCAAAGCAATTTTCCCTGGAATTATCTATATTGCTTCACTGATTTAATTTATTCTTTACAGTTTAAAACTTATCAAAAACACATTAATTCGACACTGGCACTACAGATTCTGTGGTCCGACGTTAATACAAATAACGGCGATCAACTGTTTGTTCAGCATGGAAACGTTTCTAAAAACATAACAAGAGGATCTGGATATCTGGAAATTGCCATTTCTGATCTGAAGCATTTAAAATTGATTTTTAAAACGAATTTCATGACTCATGAAAGTTGTATGGACTCTGGATATAGGGGCTTTCTTATCTGTATGAAAAGTAAGATTTTTTTTCTTATCTTGCGATTGATTGAAATATGTTATTAATAATGTCCGTGGAAGAGCTAAGTTTACATACTAGTATTTTTATATTACATAATATAATGCTTGTAATAGACATGTGTATATCAATTTATAGCAATGAAATGTCTCAGAATGCTTTATTTTTAGGTATTCAATGTACGTACAACGACCATATTTGTACCTAATAAATGAATGATCCGATGTTTTTAATCATGGTAGCTTTTTAAAGATGTTATCAAATAAAAATGTTTCACTAAAGGAATTTACGAAATTTTGATTATTGTCCAATGAATCGCACCTTGAATTTTACATTGAAGTCTATGGGCAGCGCATGTTTTTATCGGATATTGTAAAAAGTAATTTGAATTTCAAACAAATCTTTTGTTGAAATTATGCATAAACTCCCTCTTTATTAAACTACAAAATAAAATAAATCATTTATTGGTTCATTTCACTTTATCGTTATCTAGCAATGCGTTTTTTAACTTGTTTAAAATTATTTAAAACTGTTTAAAATCCCTTCATTATACTTTGAATACCTTAAAATTAGCATAATTTGATTTTGATCGATAACGAAATATTTAAGATTTAATTTAATGTTCATGGGGAAAGAACGATATGACAGGTGATTATTTTATGTAAAAATTTTAGTTGTAAGAAGTCTGCAGAACAATTCGATATGTGATGAAGTGCTGGACAAAGTTGGCGCTCAAACTTTGATCAAACAAAGTAAAAGAGGTTAGCACATATTTATTCTGTTTATATGATTCTTATTTTAGAACGAATGAAAAGGTCATAAAATTAGTATAGAATGTACTCGTCGTAATGTATTTTATTTCAATTGAACAAATTCATTTTCATAGACTCGAAGTTATGTGTTCATATTGATACACATTTTGAAGAATTAAACAGAGCTATTGATAACTGTTGTTTTTAGCATAAAATAAAAATTATTTTAGCTATTATTTCATGTGAACAACCATTTTTTTTTTTTAAATATAGCAATTGGGATAACACTAATAATTAAAATCAGCTTTTGTAGGTAAGAAAAAATGGAAAAGAAAAAGAAGAAAGAAAAGAAAAAGGAAGAATAAAAAGAGCCAAAAAAGAATTCAATTTTGTCGCTAAAAACTTCTGAAAGTATTCGCCCATGTACCATAAAAGACATTAATTAAGTGTTCTGTTTTACTTAACTTGAGTCATTCATTCTTTAGGTTTTATTATTAACGAAAAAGTCACCTATATCAAAAAACTTTCTCGGGGTTTTATTATTATCATTTTTAATTTAACGAAAAAGTCACCTATATCAAAAAACTTTTTCGGGGTGGGGGAAAGAAATTATGACTGTTTCCCACAAGATTTCTTTCACTATTTTTTGTTCACTTTTTACGAGAGAATCAATAATAACCGAGTTTACAGAAAGAAAAGACACTATTTTTTTTTCGTTTTACTTAAAACAGCTTATCAAAATTTTAAACACTCGAAATATAAATTATTCTAAAAAGACGTCGACTTTGCGGTCTAATACATGGATCCATACAATTTCTTATTTCTTTACATCAGAAAAAAGCACAAGACGAAAACACCATGTACAAGGTAGTGTGGTGTTGGTGTCAAAAATTTATCGAATAAAAATACATTTATTTTATATTGTATATAAATACAATTAATGTAGATATTTTTTCTGAATGACAAAGTAAAGACTTTTCCTATTTTTTTTTTATTTTTTTTTTGATAATATTGTAATGGTTTCCATGCTTTCAGCGAATCTCTTATGAAATGGCCTTTGTAAATGAACTCTATGATTAGGTTGTATTGACCTGTTTCAACAGGTCGGAGAGAACACCCGAAATCAAGTATTATCCGTGAAATCGCGTATAATACTCGATATTACGGTATCGTTGAATCCGCGAAATCGGGTATTCCGTGCAACTTTCTATAAAAACTAAAGAATAAAGCAACGGCGCATTATGCCAGTAACTGTTACTTGTACATCAGTATCTTGTGGATTTATTTTTATTAAACCTAATTCATACGGTTGTCAGATAAGTTTAAAATCACACGACAAACACTGCTGGGGTAACAAAGAGTGGCGTTATTATTTTTCAATATAATTTCTAAAAACAAATAACTTCGTTTGTCTTTATTTCCCATTAAAGTATTCCATATACTTAATTTTCTAATTTGTGAACTATTCACAAAACGTGAAATTTTAAAGAAATTAAACAACTAACGCCGTGTTATGTATCTTTACTGAAAAATGTATGGCGTCCCTTTCTCGTGAAATATAAATTATTCCTAACAGTTAGAGAGTACAGTATAAACGAGTCATAATTGTATATCTCTGCCATACTAAAATACCAACGTTATTATAAAGAAGAAAATAAAATAAGATTAAATAAATACCCACGGGAAAACAGTTTGAAAATAGCTAATTGAAGGTGAGTACCTTTTTTTGTCAATTTAGCATGAAATTTTTATTCAAAGACAACGTAAATTTTTTGGTTGCATTTTAATTGATACAAGATATGCTATTTTACCTTTATTTTATGCAGTTTGTGTGAAAATTGAGAAGTCATATGAACAGGATTTTCTTGGGTTTTTTTTTTTTGGGGGGGGGGGTATAAATAAAAGTCAAATATGTACATCTTTTCATGAGCTTATAATACATTGAATTTCTCAATATAGATCGAGGTACAGTCATATTGAAATATGATTACATAGTCAAGTTTCCACATTTCTTATAGTTTTTACGTTTATGAACATGTGAATGAACAAACTGAAATAATGGAGTGTTCAATTGCCTTGGAAACTCTTGTCTTACTTTTTGGAAATATAATTCCTCATCGGACATTAAAATTTCATAAAAATCGTAACCACTTCCTTTCTTTATTATACTATTTGATAGACAGGGTAAATTTTACCTCTTTACCTTCTATATTTTTTTTATATCGCTATCTTATACCTCATTATAATATGCTAATACAACGCACTATCTGATTGGTTCTAGACAATATGTCACAGTTTTCTTTTAGTTATTTTATCTATGATACGTATTACTCATGGAAATAACTCTTCGTAATACTCATCTGTAATGAAAAAATGAGTTTAAAAAATTAACATGAATTCTAGTAACTTGTAGTCTTATATTGTGTTAGAAAATAACAGGTTGCTTTTTGTTTACCTACAATGTATATGATTTTTATTTGATGAATAATCTTCCCTGATTAAAAATATATGACCGTTTTGAATTCAAAAGAGAGGTCTCTTGGACACATGTAGAACACAGACGAGGTTGTTTTGCCAGAGGTGGTCAAGAAGCCTCTCCCCTTTGAAGTCGCCAAGTGGTAAAATATTGTGACTTTGCGAATATATATGATCTCTCAGAAGCTGTATTCCTGAAACTATCACTGTCTCTGCTAAAATGTTGAAGACATATTCTGCAATTATATGTTTGTATGATAAATAAAAAAGAAAAGATTTTCAAAAAAAGAGAAAGTGGGTTCTTTTAGCCGAAATTTTAGACATTTTTATCATTACATTATTTATACATTCATAAATAAATTTGATTTTATGCACAAGATGAATGTGAAAGTAATTAATGACGCATAATTAGAACACAATCCCTTGTTTATACATGGCATCATATCTGGTGTGTGAAATGCGTTTCCGTATAATTTTATTTATTTACATATTGTTCATGTTTGTCGTGTTGATGTGGAAGTATTATAGATTCTTCTGATACTTTACAATTCTGTTGTGTTGGGAATGAACATTAGGAAGATGCATATACTTTCAACATAAGGAAAAATATAAAGCAAATCGAACGCCTTTTTGTGTGCAGATCATGAAATGTACTGAGCTCCACGGGTATTTGTTGTCCCGAGCGCATTAATCTTGACGCCCAAATTCTTACTTGGCTATTGATACCTTTAGAAAACATGTGTATCTAGATGAAAGTTAACTCGGCAACATGCGCCATCCCATTGTTTAAGTTTTATTAAGTGATTACACCTCCTATACCCGAGAGAGAGAGAGAGAGAGAGAGAGAGAAGAGAGAGAGGAGAGAGAGAGAACATTTCGAGAGAGAGAGAGAGAGAGAGAGAGAGAGAGAGAGAGAGAGAGAGAGAGAGAGAGAGAGAGAGAGAGAGAGAGAGAGAGAGAGAGAGAGAGAGAGAGAGAGAGAGAGAGAGAGAGAGAGAGAGAGAGAGAGAGAGAGAGAGAGAGAGAGAGAGAGAGAGAGAGAGAGAGAGAGAGAGAGAGAGAGAGAGAGAGAGAGAGAGAATTCTTTAAATATAGAATATTTAAAATTCATTTCTCTTGTCCAAAAAGTTGAAGCTGGGGCTTATTAAAATAATTACAATTTTGGATAGTCTAGGCTAATCGCTCTGTACATTGTGCTCCTATCTAATATTTTGAAAAAATACACTAAGCCTAACTAAACATATAAACTATATGCACTGTATTTACAAGTTTATGTACAATTATTAATATATTTGTTGTTTGCATTTTTAGTTATTCAGCAAGTTACAGGTGTATATTGTTTTTTCATAATTTAAAATAATACACTAAGCTTAACTAAATTTATATTTTATTCACTCATATATCAAATAATTTTTAAAAAATATAATTAATAGAATTCTACATTTTAAGGTCGACCCTTCGCCCTTCAGGCAGATTTGACCAAAGACATTACAAAAATTTCAATGATAAAAACTCTAAATTATTTAAAGCCTCATTTTACTTTTGTTGGCAATATTCTAATCATGCATATGGCATATAATTTTATATTAGGCCAATGATCAAATTATTAAGATATGTTGTCTTAGATGGTTTTCGTTCGTTCATGATTTTGAATATCTTTATATCATGACATTCAATTGTTGAAATAATTTATGAGCTTTAACAAATATGATATTAGCAAAATGTTTTTTTTATAAATGCATGTACCCTTTACTTTGAAGGGATGAAATTTTGTGACAAAAATGAAAAAATGAAAAATTTAGTTTTTTGTTTAGTATTTAAAATACAATTATTGTACATATTTTTCTGAATGACAAAGGCATTTCCTCTTTTTTTTTTTTTTTTTTTTTACAGAAGTGGTTTCCTTGTTGTCAGAAAATCTCTTATGTAATGACCTTTGCAAATGAAGTCTATGATTAATAGGTTGTTTTTTACTGATCTGTTTCAATATAAAGAAATTTAAAGTTCATTGACAGTGTCCGGTATCTTCAATTTTTTCTGACAAAAACAATTTTCTACAGTGTTTTTTAAATTCAAATACTTCTAATAGTATCTTTAATTATGTAAATATGTATTTTACGAATGTTTATTTATTCCAAATAAAAATCAAATAAAAATCAAATTTAATAAGTATTTGCATTTTTATTGAACATATTGAATTTACTAGAAAAACTATAATGTCTCCGTGGCACAAATCAAAGCCCAAGCCTGTACCTCTTCCAAGAGAGAGAGAGAGAGAGAGAGAGAGAGAGAGAGTACTTCGATTATAGAATGTTTTAAGATACATTTCTCTTGTCCAGGAATTCGAAGCTGGAGCTTATCAACCAATTATCATATTTGATAGAATAGGCTAATCGCTTTGTACTTTGTGCTCTTATCTAATATTTTGAAAAAATACACTAAGCTTAACTAAACATATAGTCACAGATGAAAATGTACCATCGGACATTTTGACAATTACTTTGGACATTTTCAATTCAAAATTCTATATCTGTTATTTAATTTAATGAATTTGTCATAATTGCTTAAATCTGTTAGATGTATCTACTTTAACATGTCTAATTATCTTAATTAGCCATGATGAGCCAGATGGACTGTGCTTTGTGTGACTTAATTATTGTTTATTTAAAATCTTAAATTTCAACTCTATTTGTAAATCAAATTAACTCATGTCATATGTTACTCAAACTTGTCAATTATCAATATGTCTATAAATACAAATTTTTATTAACATTCGGGGAGTTGGAATCGGGACGTGCTTGTCCCTGATACTGTCCGACCCGACGAGAAATAAAGGTCTGCAAATCGTAAAGCGGCTTTATCTTCATTAACCAATAGTCCACCCTAGTGGCTTCGCAACAAGCCCAAACACCTAACGCGAGTGTGTGATAATATAACTATATGCACTGTATTTACAAGTTTATGTACAATTATTAATATATTGGTGTTTGTATTATTTT